CGGGCCAGCTTAGGAACGACCCTTTCCCTTAAATCCGCATACCGCTTCGCTTTGGCCTTGAGGGCCATACACGTGTTCCTATCCCCTTTTTCGACAATTTATGTGATACTCCGATTATCGACACATGGAAGGCTATTGGTCCGAAGTTGGAAGGGGGTGAACGCTGTGGACTCATGGAGGGTAGCTCGATGGATTCCGACGATCTGATAGACAATCTCGGGCCACGGATGCGTGTCACGAGCCGCCAAATTCTTATGGAGGGCGGTCTTAATCATGCGATTCGCATTCTCGGCCAACCCGTTCGACTGGGAAACATGGGGAGCGGTGTGTCGGAGAGTAACGCCACGACGCATTAGTAATTCTTCTACCTCAACTTTGAATTCATATCCATTATCGGTTAGAATCTCATTTGTATCTTGATGGGTATTGAGGAATCGATCGATGTACGTGGCTATCTCTGAGGCCTTACGGGTCTTACACGGGTAGACTTCGATATATTTCGAGAAATGGTCGATTAACACCAAGAGGATGGAATATTCGCAGCGGTTGGGGCCAGGTGGCACGTCAATATCTGTCGTATCCATACTGACCTGCTGAAAAGATCGTTATACCTCTGTCGGGACTATCGTGTTCGGTCCACGAATGGGGGCACAGTCGGCCATAATCCTGATCCGTTTGTTTTACACTTCTCTAGATGTTCATTGATCCATCGATAATCTCGGGAACTTTTGGTAGCCCGATGCCTGTCGTGCTTGGTGAGATGGTCCAACGGTTGGCCAACTAACTTAGCTAATAATATTTTATCCGTCCATACCTCCGCCCGTTGGTACTTCTCATCGTATTCTGGGCCGTTCGTTCGGGCAGCCTCGAATCGAACTTCCGTAGGAAGTTTGTCCGTCCTACATGGGGCATCTCCAATCCTTACTACTCGTTCTGTATCGACACACGCGCCATGTGCACGATTAACACACGTAGCGCATTCTACCCAGTCAGTAAATCCAGACTCAAAGGGATAGCAGTTTACCCCATAAACTCGGGAAATACACGTGCAAAAATAGCAAAACCTGTCCGGGAGAGTGGTGAGAAAGTCCAAATGAGCGAGGGGAGCAGAAGAGGTGGGCGAGACCGAGACATGGGGAGTTTCCATGGTTCCGAGACAGGGAGGGAGGGAGGGAGCAGGGTGCATGCGTGCACTTAGCCCTTCTGCAGGATCTCCACTTGTCCGTATTGAGGTTCGTTCTTTGGCGCTGGATCGTGCCAAGGGATCACTTCCTCACTCCTGGGTACCTTGTCCGGGCGGTGGAGTCGTGTCAGCCTGTCCGCGTTGCCGTGTCTCCCATGTTTTCGATGACGAATGTCAAAGTCCATGCTCTGCAACGTGGTAGCCCGGCGCCTGATCATGCTCAAGTAGTCCTTGGACTTCTTCAGTGCCAGCAACAGTTCCTGATCTGTCACTAATGTAAACTTCCGGCCATACAAGTACGCTCTGAAGTGACTGATCCCCCGCAAGGCCGCGTAGCATTTCCCCGTCGGGGCAGAGTAGTTGCGTTTGCAGGACGACACCGTCTTGGACGCGTATTCCACCACGTGTTCGAGGCAGTCTGGTCCCACTTGGGCCAAGACCGCTGAGACCGCCTCGGGCTGCCACTCGGTGATGAGGACAAAGGGTTTTTTCGGGTCCGGTCTTATGAGGACAGGAGTCGAAACCAAGGCCGCCTTGAGTTCCTGGAAAGCCCGATCGCATTGCGGAGTCCAGATCAATGACTGATCTTTTTTTCATCAAATTCGTGAGTGGTCCCGCGATCGTCGCAAATCCCTTGATGAACCTCCAATAGTACGACGCCAACCCTAAGAAGACACGTAATTGTGTTACGGACGCTGGTATTGGCGCGTTGCTCACAGCTGTCACTTTCTGAGGTTCAGAATGCAACCCTTGTTCCGTGACCACGTGGCCAAGGATGGAGATCTCGGTGAGGAAAAACTGACATTTCTCAACCGCCACTTTGAATCCTGCGTCCTTCAGTGCGTGGAAGGTTCATTCGATGTGTTGCACGTGCCCCTCATAGGAATTTGAAAACATAAGGATATCATCCATATACACAATCACACAGTAATTGATTATGCTTTGCGCCAGCCGCGTTTTTCACACAAAGTTCTGGAAGGCCATGTTCATCGCGCGCTGAAACGTGGCTGGGGCGTTGCAAATCCCCATTGGGCATCAGACCCATTGCCAGGTTCCTTCGAAAAGAACGAACGCCGTTTTCGGGCGGTCTTCTTTTCTGACAAGGAGATGGTGGAATCCATGGCGAACATCAAATTTACTGAAAAATCGAGCACTACCGATAGCATCCAGCAATTCATCAATCCGGGGGAGGGGATACACATCCTTGATCGTGATATTGTTTAATTTTCGATAATCAATGCATGTACGAATTCCTCCGGCCTTTTCGGTACAATCACTACCGGAAATGACCATGGTCCAATAGCGGGTTCGATCCACGCACTAGCTTCGAATTCCTTAATCCTCTTCAACGCGGCCGCTCTCTGCGCCGGCGAATATCGATAAGGAGCCCAACTAATTGGCGGATGATCCCCCGTGAGGATCACATGCTCAATCATGTTAGACAATCCAATATCGTTGTCATGCACACTCAACAGCTCTGCATACGCATGCAAAACATCAATCAGGGATCTTTGGATTTCTCAGGGGACATGACTGGGTATGGTAATCACGGAGTCATCCACGGTGTTCAGGGTCGTCTGGATCCAATCCTTCCTTCGTGATCATCTGTCGCGTACGCTTGAAAACATAAAACTACTAGTTCTGACCGAGAAGACGGTGGCGATCATTTCTGATTCGGTCGGGCTTATCATCTCAGTCTCCTTAATTTCGGCGTCGGTTTCAGAGTTGGCGGTGCTTTTTGTTATTTCCAACCCTGTTAACCCGGTTATTTCCTGCATGAGATCTGGAACATCATCTATCGGAGCCTCTGCTTCTTGCTTGATCAAAGTGACCATGGATGTATGTGTGAGTAGTGATCTAGGTGGAGAGACAGAAAGATCCAGATACTGACTCATCTGCTGATACCTAGCCCGGAGTGAAAGCGCGCCCTCGTATAATGTGCGAGGGGGTTCCAAGAGATCAACCATATCTGAAATTTGCAAGATCGGTTCTCCTAGGAATGTCGTGGGGGGGATTCGTCTTTCTGCGGACAGAATATGGCTCGGCTCGCTACTTTCCGAGCTCAAATCGAATGTTCGAGTGATTGCGGGGATCATTCGAAATTCTTCTTTAGTCTCGCAACCAAACATTTCGACTAATTGTTCCCATTCTTTTTCACTAGGCATATCGTTCAGTTCCTCCTCATAATTGCGTTCGTCGAACCCGTTTTCCCACGCAAGGTGCTGTTTTTCATCATTGTACGGGGGAGGCTCTTCTGAGCCCGAGATCTGGATCATTCCTATCTGGACAATACTGGGATTTTTCTTCGGTGATCAAGTAGAGACTCGTAGTGGCAGTGTTTGAGGTTTACCCCCCGTATGCGTGAGGACGAGTTGTTTAGAATCGAAGTGTATCCGTGCTCCTACCGCCATCGCCCAGGGCAGGCCTAACAGTATCGAGTAAGAGTGTACGTCGATAACTAACGCGTTAACCAACACATGTACTTGGCCTACCTTGACCGCGACGTTCTTAATGATTCCTACGATGTTCATTGCTTCTTCATCGACCGATATATAATTGTCTTTTGCTGGTAGTGGAAGGATAGAGTTCAGTCGGTCTTTCTTTCTGACTGTGTCCAGGGATATAGCTATGACTGATGATCCGGTGTCAATAAGCGCGTCAAACGGTTTACCCCAGACCTCGCAATCACACTCGGCGCTTTTCCATAGGACCGATCGGACACACACAAAGTGATCTCTCTCAGCGTAAGAAATGGCAGCGATTCTTGTCGTTACGAGTGCGTCAGGTTCGATCACAGGGGGAGGACTTGCCTCACTCTCATCTTCTTTCTTCTTCTTCAGCATACGCTGAACGTGCTGGTAGGTAAAGTGCTTTTGATTCTTCTAACATTGTTGCAGGAACTTGTCATTTGAAGCTTTGGATATGGTCAACAAGTGTCCCACGGGGACCGGCAGTCGCTTGTCCAACTGTTTGAGTGTCTGTAGGACATCGATCTCTCTTGTTTGAAATTGTGGTCCTGACTCCGATGCGCGCTCGACCCAATCGAGCTCGTCCTTGGCAGGTCGGATCGCTCCGATTAGTCCTGCCAAAGAAGGTACTCGGTTGGATCGACGACATCGGCGGCTTCGGAAGACGATCTCGATGTAGACGCGACATGATCAATTGAGGGTGGTTGATCGGCCACGAAGGGGGAAGCTTCCCTTGCGGTTTCTAATACTGCGGCCACCCGACCTTGATTCAAGGCCACGAGCGCGACTGCGGGTGGAGGTTGATTACGTTTCAGCTGAGGGCATTCTCGTGCGAAATGTCCCAGTTGTTTACAGTTGTAGCATTCAATCCTCCCCGCCGTATTAGTTATATGAAGGGGAGCGGGAGGGGGAGCTAGTCCTACTGCAGGAGGAGCGGTCAACAACGGGTACTGAGTGGAAACAGGGTGAGAAGGGCTGGAATTAGCCTTCATTAGTTTTGTCATGATCTGTTCCAGCCGATCCATCTGAGAAGCTTGCATCTGAAGCAGATTATTCATCCACTCAGACTGTTTGGTCGTAGCGGTATGTATCATCTGGGCCAGATGCATGTTTGTGATAGGCACTGATGCGGCGTCCTGGGTCATGACTGTATTCACATGCGTCATTTTGGGAAGAAAATGAGGTTTCGTGAGAGGTAGTGATACGAGGAGGGATCAGGGGCGGGGCCATCCTGGTAATCATGATCGGGACGAGGGTAAAATCGTCCCACCGCTCTGAGCCATGACCGCCGCTTAGCAGCCACGTCTTGGATCGTGTCCGAAATGTCTTCTTCTCCCTGACTTATATACCTGTCTCTTATACACATCTAGATGTGTATAAGAGACAGGCTTAGCAGCCACGTCTTGGATCGTGTCCGAAATGTCTTCTTCTCCCTGACTAATATACTTATGCGTGTCTAGCAGATCTAGCTCTGTCTCTTATACACATCTATATGTGTATAAGCTCTCTCTCTCTCTCTCTCTCTCTCTCTCTCTCTCTCTCTCTTTTCTTTTTCTTTTGCTGTCCTATTGCTGTGGATTGAATGCCGTGTGATGTCGATCCCACCTGCTCATTGTCTCTATCACCTGCTTCAGTGGGCCCGCTCCAAAAATCGCTGAGCTTGGGGATCCCCTGTCCACTTCCATCATACCTGCCCCCCCCCACCTCGTGCAAACGACCAGATTCCACCTTCTCGATAACTTTTTTTCTTCGTTTTTTCCCCCAGATCCATTTGAATACTTTGTGTCTCGTACATGTATCAGATATACTTCTTTTTTTTTTTTTTTTGTCAAAAAAAAGGGGCCCTAAGGGCTCCATATTATGAGTTGCAATGCACTGAGGCCGGGAATCCTCAACAAACAACCCGGAAGAACGTTAGCACCAACAAAAGAAGACGCAGGTGAAGGGATATTGACTAGGGACAGAAATGGCCAACACAACGACCGCTGCCCTGTCTGTTCCACTTCCCTGAATAGCACTCAAACAAATATGCCTTCACGGCCATCAAAGCCACACAATCCCGAAAGAATCCGACCAACCACCAAACCTCAATCCCTAGTCCAACAGTATACTATTCCTAACTTTGAAGAACAACAAAACTAAGCCCCCTAACTAAAAAGCACCCCCTACCCCATAGATCTATACTACTACAAACCACCAAAACCACCTAAAGCGGTGGAACAAAGGCTCAGCCTGAGGCTTCTCTAAACTACCCCACTCAATGTGCTCCCTCCAAATCCAAGGGGATCCGATCTGCCTGTCTCCTGCGACCGAACCTTCAACCGAGCACATCAGGTTGCTCCATCAATAATCAGCCACTCCTGAATAACCAGTTTGCCCTCCTCCGTCACACTTGCCCATGATCCTCCCAGGCACCATGTTTCCTTGAACCAATGTATTGATTTACCTTCCGGTACTAGACTGTCTCAGGCTTTTCAAGATTGTAGCTCTAATCTGTTTGCCAGATAGCAGAACAGATTGCCGCTCTTGCCACCTGCGCCACATATCCCCACCCCTTATACTTCCCCTCTTCCTTGCTCTTTTTTTTTTCTTCTTTGCTCTTATTTTCTGTTTTTTTTTTTTCAGGCGAACCTCCCACGAAACTTCCCCGATGGAGAGATTCAAATCCCAAAAAAAAAAAAAAAAAACGTTTGTCACCTTTCCCTTTCAATTTCTCGTCGCAGTAATTTATTAGCCAAAACAGAGAATTTGTTTCGAGTGAGATCGATTATTAATATTCTTTTTTTGATTTTTGATTTTTATTATTTTTCTCGAGACGTGAAGACTCCATCATATAATAAAATTAAAACGGGCGTAAGGATCTATCAACCCAAAAAAGACTATACATTATTCCACTAATGACTAGTTAACTCGGCCGGCGTACCCACATGCTGGGTAACAAAAAAACGAAAAAAAAAAGGAGTAAGCGAAGCTGGGTAATGGTCTCAGTACCAGGGTGGAATTGGGATGTTCCCGGCCTCTCATTTGACAATTGATAATAAACTTAAACTTTCCCGCATGGGAAAATAGGGAAAACTGGCTGTTTTCCCAATCGCCTGAATTTTCGGAGGTGACGACAACTGCCATTGATAAATCTGATCGGCGGCCGTCGTTTCGTTTCGGCCTCCGAAAAAGGTCGGATGCCTTCCGAGGCCCGCTATTTTCCCAAGCGGCAAAATAAATAAAAACGAAGACTTTCTCTTTCCTATAATGGAATAAAAAATGGAGTTCTGGACAAACTTTATGCACGGTCCAGTAAGAATAAACGGATATTTTTTTCTTCCCTCGGGACATCAATCTGGACGTGTTTTATGCAGAGATGGAGAAAACCATATCAATTGCGATTTTCTGCCCCTCTCCACAAACACGTCCACAGCAGACGTTATATCCAATCCTCATTGCTACCGGTAGTGGGATTGTTTTAAAGTCGGATTCCCCTCGTCCGCAGCAGTTCTGAGTCGGCAGTTTAGGGAGAGTCTCACCGGTAGTGGGATTGGATCAAGCGCCATTATTCTGGACGGATTTAAATGTAAGAAACGCAGATCAATTCCGACTGTCTGCATCTCTCCTCCACATTCGGGTATTAAATTTACTCCTCTTTGCTAGTGGGACCTCGTCCCAACAGGACTAGCGCTCTCCAGGGGTCTGGTCCCACCTGCGGCCGTTGAGTTTAGATTCCTCAACGGTGTGACACCCCGAAAGCATTAAATAAATCTGAAAAATGCATTTCAGGCATGTTTCGTGAAAATCATAGATCATGCCGGCCGTAAGAAATGAAGTGGAAACATGGTGGTGGTGATGCGGGGTTCACCCTCGCTTCTAACGCAGGACACTGAATCTTACCGGATTCAGCACCACGTGCAACGCGATGTTGTTATATGGGTCTCGATCCGGAAAAAAAAAACGGAAACATACACCGACAAAGTGACTGACACGCATGGCGGTTACGTTTTTTTTTTCCCTCGCAAAGCGACTGACACACTCCCCGACAAACGGGGAACGGCGCGCGGTGAAAAATTATGTACCTAAAATGCTAAATCATACATTCAGCACGTTGAGATATCTACCCTCGACCGTGGAGGGTAGCTTTCTCAACTCCGTGGCGGTTGCCCATGCGGCCTTTCGTCCAATGCGGGACTCGGTACGAAGTCGTTATACAAATAAAAAAAACATTGAAATCAGCCCAAGGAACATCCCCCTTCGCAAAAAATGCAGACCATCGGATCTCAGTCCTGTGCACGGCCACGTCCTGTCGAACGTCGTCACTCCTCGTCGAAAACCTGACGCTGAGTTAACTCAACAACGCAGGTGGGACCAGACCCCAGGGATAAAATCCACAGGTCGCGTCACGTCTTGGTGGCGCACAATAAATAAATAAATAAACAAAAATCGATGGAGAGTACTTCTACTAATCGTTCCGTCGGGAGTTCATTTGAAAATTGAAATCCAATTATCCTCCTCCTGTCTCTTAAAGATTTCGCCGATGAAACACCCCCGAAAGTTCGGGATCGTGACCCTGAACACTCTCCAATCAAACCCGGAAACGGACGTCGAGCAGCTCATCGCAACAGGCATCTATTCCCTTTTGTTCGTTTAGTGTTTTTTTTTTCAAGTGTATTTTCTTTTTGTCTTTTTCGTTCGAGAGGAGAGGGGGGGAGGGGAGAAGTGGAGGAGGTGATAGCAAAATGCGCGTTAAGGACCCAAAACCTCCACCAGGCATCCCGTGATGATAGCATATACGCTGCCCCCTGCCGTGCGATTTATGCAACAGGAAAGACGTACTGCGTCCGTCCGTTGCTTCCTTGTTTTAACTTTGTTTACCTCAGGTGAATCCTTACGCAATTTCGCTGTTTTGCACATATGCATACAGAGCTGACGTCGCCGGCCCTGCACCCTCTTCATGAATGTATACAGGGAACCTTTCCAGTCCGATACAGTCATGATGAGTAGACGTTCAGTCTGGGGGAAGCCGGTAGTCCTTACTCCTTAAAACTTCTGCATCCTGCCACGTGTTCGATCCCCAAGCCACTCGGCGATTCCCTTGGCATATCTGATGCCACTTGTCATCCTCCCACGTGCAGTCCTTTCTGGACCAGATTGGTCAAGAACCCACACATCAAACTCGCTAGGCACCAGCAACGGACTCGGGGATTTAGAAGTAGATGGGAGGAGGGGAAGAGGGGAAGAGGGGAAGAAGAGGGGAGGAAGAGGGGAGAAAAGGGGAAGAAGAGGGGAGAAAAGGTGAAGAAGAGGGGAAGAAGAGGGGAAGAAGAGGGGAGAAGAGGGGAAGAAGAGGGAAAGAAGAGAGAAGAGGGGAGGAAGAGGGGCAAAGAGGGGGGAAGAGGGGGGAAGAGGGCGGAAGAGAGGAAGAGGGAAAGAGGGGAAGAGGGAAAGAGGGGAGCAAGCCGTACCTTCCTTGCTAGTCTTCAGCAAATGCCGATCTAGTCTCGTTTCTCCTATCCCCTTCTTCTCCTTCGGGCCTTCTCTTTCGCCTGTCGTTTCTGCAGTACAAAGGGTCTCGTGATTTGTCCTTTCCGATGAGCTTCCCTCCATCTCTTTCACTGACGACACGTGGCATTCTGGACACTGGCCCAGCTTCTTCTCTGACATAGAAATGTCATCTTCCCCTTCGTACGATCCCCCTTTTCCTCTTCGTCCGCCTCCTTCATTAGGCTCCATCACCGAAGCGCGCGATACGGCGATCGGGATGGAATCGGTATCTGCACAAACTTGTCGGTCAAAGGGATCAACTCCGTTTTCACTTGGAGGTTCACTGCAGCTCGCGGCATTCTCCTCCATCCCCACGCGGCGGCAATCATCATCCATAGAGGCCCCCTCTTCTCCCCTGTTATCTAGATCTCCGTCAGGCCGCCTCCTAACTCGGTCACCACCTCCCTCTGATCCCATCTCCACGTCCATGCCCACCACATCAGCGCCCGCCTCAGCGACTATTTTCCCCATTGTGCAACGAGTCTCCTCCCGCCGCACACCCGTCTCTTCTGGTAGCTCCTCCTCCCCCCCTCGCAGCCCTTCCTCCTTGCTACCGACAACAACCGATCTGATGCAAACTTCTCTCCCATCTCTTTCACCAATCCGGCGCGTGCTTCCATCGCTGACGTTCTTCTCCCGACCACCTCCCTCCTCGTCATTACACACAACCTCCCTCCTCCCATCGCTGCAAGTCTCTCTCGCATTGTTTTCGTCTACACTGCCCTCCTCCTCAACCAGTTCTACCGCCCCACAGTCCCGATCTCGTCCATTAAGGCCGTGGCGACCTCCATGCCGGCGATCCGTTCTGATACACCCATTCTCTTCCATACTCTTCTCCTCTTCTCTCAATCTCGCAGTCGCGCCACCCTTTCCGTCCTTACTGTGGATCTTTCCCTGCTCCTCAGCAGGGAGAGAGGACTCACCCGCTGCCGTTGCTGCTTCCCCATCTCTGCCATCCGACCTTAGATGTCCTCGGCTTCTCCTCAGGTCAACCACCTGTTCTTCTTCCTCCTCCTCCTCCTCCTCTTCATCCTCGTCCTCCTCCTCCCTTCGCTTCCCCGCCTCTTTTCTGATCCTTCCTTCGGCAAGGCGCCGTGTTTCCCGGCATTGGGCCATTCCCACTGCGCCCTCGTTCCGATCGCTACCCTTTCCGTCGCTACCCACGTCGTCGTCGTCGTCGTCCTCCTCCTCTCCATCCTCCTCTCTTACCATCTCGCAATCACCGCAACAACTGCAACAACCGCAATCGCCCCCCTGGCCGCGTCTCACCTCTGCTACTCCTCGACAGTAACCGTTCCTACCCATCCCCATACTCTCAGATTCCCCTCTGGTTGCATCAGCTTTCTTGGAAAACCGCACCCAGTTCACGTGATGGAGCTCAGCGAGAATCTCTGTTAACCCGACAAGTCGCTGCAAGTGCAAAAGAGGTATCCAAGCCATTCTTCGCCGTTGAACACACGCCCACAGCTCCTCATACCTGCCATTCTCCCCAGCTGCTATCTGTAGCTCGGCGAAGACGAGGTCGATAATCCCATTGGCAGCAGCAAATTCCTGACGCAGCCAAGCGAAAGCCTCAATTTCGTCCAGCAACCATGAGTTCGCTTGCTGCTGTTGCTGCTGATGATTGTAGGCATTCCAGAATGCATCCACAGCCATAGCTTCGGCGGCAGATCTTTCAGCAGCAGCCCGGTCCATGGCCGCTGCTGCTTCGTCCTCGAACCCGCGCATATCCACCGCTGGATGATCGACATCCCCCACACCGCGATACCCTCCACCTGGAGGTCCCCGTCTTCCTCCTCCCCCCAATTGCATACCTTCCCTGAACTCCCTCTCCCCGTAGTCCCCGTTATCCCCATAATTACTATGATAACCATAGCCTGCAGTAGACGAAGACGAAGATGAGGACAAGCTTGGATGTCTCCCGTGAAAACAGCGTCGCCGGTTCCCTCCTCCTCCTCCTCCTCCTCCTCCTCGTCGTCCTGCTCCTAGACAGCCAGCATCCGGAGCGGGACCACCACTCGCATGGCCACCACCTCTTGCTTCTACTTCGCTGCACTCAGCGGAGGAGGACCTTCCTTTCGCGGCACCCCCTGCTGCTGCTGCCGCTGCTGCTCCTCCTAGAGTCGATTCATGATTGGACAAACGGTCGCGGGGTACCCATTCCACAACGCCCACCCTGCCGTATCCGTTACGACCGGCGTTCTCCACACGAGAGTAATACCTCCCACCATTGCTGCTTTGTGTAGTAGCCTGCCCTCCGAAGAATCCATTAGTGCGCCTCCGGTTTCCTGTCCACGTCGGCTTGCTCGGGGTCGACTCAGACTTCGCTTCCACCGCCACCGCAGGTCCCTTTTCCCCTTCTTCTCCGCCTCCTGCCCCTCCCCCTCCTTGTCCACTTTGTTGTTGCATCTTCAACACACTTTAAGCCAGCCACCCGTGCTCTCTCTCTCTCTCTCTCTCTCTCTCTCTCTCTCTCTGTGTGTGTGTGTGTGTGTGTGTGTGTGTGTGTGTGTGTGTGTGTGTGTGTGTGTAATTTGCCTATCAATCTAATCCGTCTCGATGGATCGCTATAGTTTCCTTGCTCTCTCTCGCGTCGCCCGTGTGTGCACACGAGAGAGGGAGACAGAGGGGTAGAGAGAAAGAGGGAGAAAGAGAGAGAGGAGAAACAGAAACAGGCCGAGTCTACCTTGCTCGTGGAGGTCGACAACTCCTTTACTTCGGCAAACCACAGCCACTAACAATCGCTGCTCGTGAGGACACAATCGGAGGGGGGATAGTAGACGCCAATCATCGCCCCCGGGGGCGCAAGGGAGGGAGGCCCGGCGAAGGCCGGCAGACAGTATAGCAATCCACAGTGATCACCCCTCCGAAGCAGTGCCAGCCTAGGAGAAGGGGGTTTTGGTTGATTGGTTGATGGACCCAACAGCAGCAATGAGTCGAGCTTCACACTCGATAAATATCTAATGAGGTCAGGGATCACCCACCGTAACGAGAAGCTAAAGTGCTGTGCAGAATCACGACTAGAGAGACGGAGAAAAGTAGAGAGAGAGAGAGACAGAGAGAGAGAGAGAGAGAGAGAGAGAGAGAGAGAGAGAGAGAGAGAGAAGTGCGAACAAACTGTTTGTCCGTAGCAAATGTGAATGCGATATCTCTTCAGCTCGATCTCGAGGAGATAGTGATTCGTGACATAGTGTCCATCATCGAACACTTGATGCACTTACCAAATTCCAACGCAAGGGATAGGAGGTGGTAGCGATTCCACTACAACAGGATCAGACGGGCTGTTGTCGATTTCCCTCCTGATCCGACAACAGCGACTGTGGTCGAGAGGCGTCCGTCGACGACACCTGTCCGTCGACCTTGTTGGCGCGCAGCGTAAGGATCCCTCTTGTTGGCGCGCCGCGATCCTCGACTCCTTACCGTCCCACAACTTCTCGTCAATGTGGAAACGAAATGTTGGCGCGCCGTCAATGTGAAAACGAAAACCACACGGATCCATACTACAAAAGCCGTGCAGCCAAAACTAATCGAAATTTCAGCCAACTTTCAGTTCGTGTCTACGTATAGCTTTTCGACAAAATCAAGGGAAAATAAACGCGGGAATCAGAAGGACAAATCAGCAAAGATGACAACAACGAGAGATTAACAGCCGGGAAGTTTCAGAAGAGGAGGATAGGATGATATGATGTGGTATGATCAAAGAGGTGAGCAGCATGCATGGATGGATCGAGAGGTCCGTCATCGGTGAACAGATTGGGCCTGTTTACGGCCAATCATCGACTACTACGAAGGTTGACATGATCATAGTAGTCGTACCAGATGTAGAGTAGTAATTACTTCGCTCACCGTCATCCCATCCATGGCCGTCAGGCTTCAAATCCGTCGAGATACCGACCTCCACGTCCGTCGGGATACGGACTTCCAAGTCCTTCAAGATTCAGACCTCCAAGTCCGTCAGTATTCCGCCCTCCGAATCCGTCGACGAGATACCGACCCTCCATCCCGACCTCCAAGTCCGGCAAGATTCCGACCTCCGACTCCATCAAGACAGCGGCCTCCAAGTCCGTCTAGATACCGACCTCGACGCAGGAAGACTTGCCAACAAGCAGGCAGGGTCAGGTTAATGGTCGACCGACTGACGATCGTCCACAAATCGTTCACGCGTCTCTCTCACATGATCATAGTGGCAACGGATCCTCTCCCCTCTTCCAGCCACTTTCTCCATTCCATTCGCCTGACCACCTCTCCATTCACCGGCGTCGCTCAATTCGACACGTTTCCCAGCCACACAGCGGAAAGAGGAAATGTTGAGAATCGATCAAAGGCGTGAGAGCACACATGACAGGGCGATTTCGAAGATGCAAAAAATATACAAGAGCTAAAGAGGGGGAAAGTTGCGCAGTAGAAGTCGGACTGGTTTGTCGGCTCACCGGCCCATCAAATCGGAATCCGGACTCAACACGCTGGTTCCGGCCCGACCCACCGCCTTTCCCCGCGCCCCTGCCAAGGATGCATTGTTGCGCAGTGAAAACACAACCCAACCTCTGACAATTCCTCCTCTCCAATAGTACTTATCTATCCGCACCCGGTCCTGTCTCTTATACACATCTAGATGTGTATAACAGCTTCGTCCAATACATCCGTTCCCTCCGCCATCACCTCCCCACCACCATCATTCCCGACTTTGCGTTCATCTCCCGCATCAAGCGAGTATGCCACAAAGATCTTGCAACCGCCCTCGCCCACGAACCCGACATGCCCCTT